AAGACATGACATGTGGTCATCATCTGTCCTGCCTCATAATGTGTGATTAATGGTAAGTGATGTTGGCCAACCATTGCCCACACTGTTTACTCACACCCTGTAATATATTTCACTCTGAGACTTGATCTACCAGTTTCATTTTTTTCTTAATGCTTTGTTATTGCAGTGAGGTTCAAGAAATTCTTGTTGTGTGAATCATTAAGTACCGGTAGGAGTCTGTCACCATATTGGCAAATTGCTTGGTTTCGTTTTAGGCTTTTGTGGATTCTTTATCGATTTGGACCATCACAGTGAGGCATTTAGCAAGAAATTGAAATTTGACTTCTAAGTACCGATATTCCTCTTTTCTTATTATCTCAGTTTATTGTTTGACGTCCCCCAGTTCTTTTGACCTCCACCAGGAGGGTCTGAAGGATTTTGCAGAATTTACAAGGGTAAAGCACAGCAACTATCTGATACACAGGGTAGCATGCCCGTGTATTCCCTACACAGGGAAATAATTGGACGATTCGGATGAATTTTACAATATCACACGAGAGTTTGGGTTTAACATTAAGGTTTCCTAGTTGGACAGATTAAATTGAGAATATGTTTTTTTTTTCTTTTCCTGATCATGTTCATTGTTACATTTGTCCTTAACTAACCCCCTAGGCCCATTTTGCTGGGAACCATCCCCGATCCTCCAAAATCCTCCAAAATTGTGCACTTATGTTCAAATGAAGGATACCCAGTGCTTCAATCCTTCAAAATCGTCCGACAGTCCTGCCTCATGTTTTTCTCAAATGCCATTCATCCTCAATCGTCCTCAATCCTTCAAAATCCTCATGGCGGTTCTTAGGATTTTGGAGGATTGCAGATGAATGGTGTTAAAGAAACGTGAGGATTTTGGAGGATTGAGGAGGGTTAGGGTAAATAAATGTTTTTCAACCTTTGATAAATTCACTGAAATATAATTTGTTGTGTGATAATATTTACAACCGCAAATACTTTCCAAAACTACAAATTATTCAACTCTGATAAGTGACAATTCAACACTTATAAGTGACAAGGATTTTCTCAAGAACACGCATAATACCCAGCATCCTCTGGCATTGAGGTACCCTAATTACCCTACATTAGCCCTAAGTGGTTGTAAATACATTTGTCTCCCAAGGAAAAATCGAAAACAGATTTCTGGCAATCAACCAGAGCAGCGCTGGCAAAGTCGATTTTTTTTTTCTGGTCTAGTCATTTTTTTTCTGTTCCTCCTCCTCCGGGGAACTTGCATCTGAAGAAGAGGGCGAGTCTCAAATTGATTCTGGTCCCCCCACTGATAAGTGCCCAATTTTCCAGGAGCAGGGAATCCTTTTAGAGATGTTGAGAGAGACATGCCCCAGCTGGGGGGCGTGGAGAGGCAAACACTTTAAAGCCGAAATGAAAAAACGGAAGTCTTTTGGGAAGTTGAAGAGGATTGCGGTTAAAATATGCTGCTGTATATCCTTAAATGTACATGTACTTGTGTTTCACGACTTGCGAATATCCAATTGCACCTTTGGGACAGTAATAAAAGATACCGGGAGATATTCTGAGATTCTGTTCAGCTGGGGTTGGATTAGTTGATCAAGGACTGAGAATATACTGTTCAAGGCCTTGTTATACATATGTACTTGTGGCTTATCAACCTGTCTTGAATCTAAGTGCAGACTTTTAGAGGTTTTATAATGGAAGGCATCTGGGCGGCAGTAGAATGTCTTAAGCAAATGGAATGCTCGAAATGATGCATCATGAACACTTCAGATCTATGATAAAGGTTACAGTTTTTGGACTGAGATGTTTTATTCTTCTTCACATCTGGGACTGATTATAACCGGTATGAGGTGTCTTATGCAGATAATCAATTCCTCACCATATGTACGGTAGTTGTGATTCCTTTCACGAGTGTACATGTAAGTGTGGAAATAATTCGATTTGATTCTGCATTGAGCGTAGTGTGGGATCTGCAGTTCTTGTGAGATCACCTGCTCTTCAAGTTTTTTATACATGAACTGAATTAGCCTGAACAAGTTGTATTGCATGATAAAACAGTGATATTCGTTATGTTTTCAACTTTTTACCTTATTGCCAATTGCTAAATTAGACCTGAAGTTTGTGTTCCACCTGCCTATCAAGGTGATAATAGGGCAGCCAACATTAACTTGCATTGTAAAAATGAGTCCTCAGGCTCTAAGTGGGCACTGGATATTTATTCCACGTTGCACCCGCCTCAATCAAATAAAGAATCCTTCAGTCAGCTATCCGGCAGTAAAGTGCCTCCAATGGTACTTACATGGACTACCTGAGTCAACTGGCAAAATAAAACACCCGCCAACCACAAACAGTAGAATATCTCCTCCCCCCCCCCCTTCAACATTCACATGAAGAATTTGGCATTAACTCGTCAACACGTTTGAATGACCCTCCTATTTGTGGGACCACAAGGACTTTTAGAAAAGATCCCGTATTGTCCCCAAGCCTTTAAGATATTCTCTTTTTTGAAGCTGAGTTGAGAAAATAAACACTCGCTCTCCGGCCCCTGGCAAAAACAAACAGTTGAAGCAGCCCCCATTTGCTTATGCACCGGTTTTTACCTTCCCTGGTTCTTGCTTGATCATATTTGTACGAATACACAAGCTAGTGTCCACTATAGGCCTAGAGGAGGAGCAAGGAAATAGAGTGTGAATGTATCATGGGACGACACTTCGAGCGGAATCGAGCTACTGTAAATTTTCCTGTAGGCCTTTTACAAGGTACATTGTAAATGCTTCATTTCTGTACGCATACATGTACATGTTATTTTGTATGTTGAATTTCCAGTCCTGTCTGTGATGGTATAATCGGCATTTTGCAAAGCACTGGGGGCTTTTCTTACAACTAAACTGCCTCACTAGACTTGGTTCTTTTGACTTGTTGCATTGTGGCCCTTCCCAGGAGGATAAATAGCGTGACACAATTGCTTTGCTTTGGAAAAAGGGGTCAGAGATTTTTTTTTCCAGTAACTGACAGGTCTTCAGAATAGTGGGCATTGTCCCGACCACCAAAGAGTTGACAGAATTTTCATTGTAACCTTACATATGAGTAAGCATTCCCCCCCCCCCCCCTCGTGCCGGAGGAAGCGTTGGGGCTCACAATCTAGTTACAGCATAGGATTGGTCCTGTTGATTGTTGAGTGCAGTGCACTGCAGTTAGAATTTCTTTGCCCAGTTGAACTTGTAGAAAAGTAAGTCTGTCACGAGCCAATATGGCTCATCAGGCCAGTATTTATCTCTAGTTTCATTTGCTTGCAACAAGTGAGAACATTGTTCCCCACCCCCCACTCCCAAATGGGATGCCATCACAGGATAGTGCCCGTACCCAGCTAATGCCCGTACCCATCTAATATGCTGCTGGGTAGAGAGAGGCAAGTGGAGTGAAGTGGCTTGCCCGAGGACACAACGCAAGGCCAGCGGCAGGATTCGAACCCCTGACCATCTGATCATGAGACTAAAAACCCTAATCACTTATGTCACACTCCCCAATAGAGGTAGTAAACATTATTCTTAATTAATGCAGGTAAACCTGTTACAATTTTCAAGACTCCATTGTCTTGTGTTTTCACATTTTTCGACTTGTACTCGTGTCAGTGAGTGTTTTCTGTCATGGGTACATTCAACGTGTGAAAAAGGGTACATGTCATTTATAGTTTTGTGATGTGCAACAGAGAACAACATGTAAAGATGTGCAGTCAGCTGCTTAGTAATTCAAGGCCAGGCATCTCAGTGATAAGAGGTTGTCTGCTCAAGGAGTCCGGTGCTCTGGCTAGTCTGGTGCCCTGCTTGAGCAAGAATAAACACAGTGACATGATCAACTGTGATGGCTCACAGGAGAGTCAAATTAGTAGGCCACCTGTAAATGATAAGTGCCCTAATACGTTATTAACAGCGTGTGATTGCTCAGTCCTTGGTCTGAATTGCGATACATTAGCTCCATGATCCACCAGAGTGCAACAAATAAAAAGAAGGGCTTGATTTGTGCAGTCTAGAACGAAGAGAGCTGTTTGTTCGTCTGTGAAAAGTTGATGTCTCGTGACCACAGCAGGCAATCATGTAAACAAGTTTGTACCACCCCGTGATCTATGCACGGTATAACTGTAAAAATGTTCTGATTTTTATAATGTAATTTGATCCAAATGTGAGAGAGGGAACAGATGTATTTTGAGGCATTGAAGCTACTCGCACAAAGTATTATCGCAACTATTACGAAATGGTAACAAGTAGTTGTACACATGTAATTTTAATTCTCTCTTCTTCTTTTTTCCGAAATTGTTAACGCGTTAACAGGTGTATATTGCAACATGGGGCTTTTGGTTTTGGGATTTAATAATGTAACTAAGGCAAAATACATTGCAACATTGGAATAGCTTTGCCATACTCAAAGCTTGTTAACCTTGGAAGAATGGAGCATTGAGGATAGTACAGTGACACAGATGTAACATTGTCTTGGTTTAGCTCACTGGAACGGAATCCCTCATTGTGATGTTGCCATGGCAACAATTGTACCACAGGTGGCCGTTAGTACTTTAAGCACCAGAATTATGCAAAGGAGGAGCTCTTTTTTTGCATTTCTCTATTTTCTGATATTTCTGCCGTTCTGCGTATAGGCCTACAATACGAAGAAGTATCGCTCTGTGTTGATTTATAAATGGTAATGGTCACCGTTAGAAAAAAATACATAGCAAATGTGGAGGAGTATAAGTGTACTTAAGGCTTGGCACAGCTTGCATCGTCATTATGCACAAACGCATTAAACCTTTCAGATACCGAGGAAACATATGGCAATCTAACCAAATTCAAAGTCAACATCACATGCTTCTAGAGCAATTTTATTGAGATCAGGGTCACAGAATCCGCAAAACTATTTTTGTTTGATCTGCGATAATGCCTTGCACAGTACTTTTTATCAGTGGCTTTCCTTTTTTTTTTTTCTTTTTTTTTTTGCATCTGCAGGCATCTTGAACTGGTAAGCAGCAAGAATTTCCACCTCCAGTTTGCCCTTATGAGGTATGTATGGATGTGGACGGTGGTTTGGTCTCATGCCGGGACTAATTTGATTAATTCCGGCATGTTGTGTGTTTGCTGTACTCTCAAGCTTTGTCATCAGTATCTTTATTTCCCCCTCCCTCGACCTTCAGTCACCATTTCGAAATGAACATGATTCATCATGTGCTCCATGTGTGTTCTTATTCCTCCATGGTGTACATACCTTTCCTCGTTTGTCTTATGCGCATGAACGTTACGTGTAATAGCTACATCATGTAGACATTACTGTATTTCATGCCGCTGCTTGCTATTTGATTCTATGGCATGTCACCTTTTGAAAGAGCCAAGTTGTCCAGAGCGGTTTCAGCATTTGCACTGTGCCATGAATGCCAGTTTCGACAAGGACAAATTAGGGCTATCCACATTACAAACTATACCACCACAAAAGGTCTTATAAAGAGAAGAGGTTCTAGTGTGAAGGTAACAGCTTTTCCCTTCATAGCATTACAAAGAAGCTACTGACAAAGCAGCTGATCTAACAATCAGAACAGGAAAACAAAACCTCTTGGTTTTCTTGTTTATCTCTGGTTCTCCTGACAAGGATGTCCTTGCTCATTTTGTCAGACATTCAGAGGGCTTGAGTCACCTTCCTGAGGAGCATTGTGTCCCCATTGTGGCCTCCTCTCCTAAAGGATTGTGGGCTTCGTGTAGATTCACCGGGGGCCCTTGTGGCCGTTTTTCAATACTTTCTTTTTGACTCCTGCTTTTCTCTTTTTCCATTATTTTGTGGTCACCTCAGTGTGATGATCACACAGCTATTCAGGAGCAGTTCCTCTATGTTTGCTCACATCTAATTGTGGGGCCAGTTATGTAATACAACCTGCTCCATTAGATCTTGTGAGAGGGTTTTATGGTGCGCGGGTGAAAGTGTGGAGGTGGTTTGGTGTTATTTCTAGTATTTGCAAGGAGCTCACACTCGATAACAGTGTATAACCAGTGACTGTTCATTTGTAACTGTGGAAGTTTCAGAGCACCTTTCTGAAGGATCCAAGGTTTGCATCGACTTTGGAGTTAGACTTACCAAGAACGTGATACACGTACAGGAACTACATATGCACATGTAGTGCAGTTTTTAATGGAATCAAAAATCCATTGGAAGGCATGATTGCAAAACCAGGAAGGTTACTTGACTGGAGAATTTAAATGAAACAGGTAATGTATCTTGTTGGGAAAAACTTTATTTCTCAGTTTGTGGTCTTGGGCATGAAGCCAGACACATTGTCACGCTTTCTAAACAAACACCTAATGTGCTGCACCTTGCAATTAAATCTACATTAACTTAACCCTAACCACCCAAACTCTTCAAAATCCAACTGCATCATGTGCATGTTTTTTGTTGGAATCTGTTGGAGTGAGTACATGTACTGCACTAGTAAACTGATCATACATGGGGTTCGGCATACCACCATAATCAGAGTCCAGCAGTTTGGGTGTTGAGTTTACCATTTGGTGTTGGATTTTGCAAGAGTGAGGAAGGTTCCTAGTAAATCACTAGGAACTTAGGGTTACAGTGTTCTGTGCAGTGAAGGCATTTCAGCCCAGCATTTGTACATGATTTTCCAATTTACATCGGCAGCATAAAGTACATGTAAATCCAAGTCTGAAAGCGAAACCAGTGAAATTTCCGGGTGCATGCCTGGGTTAATAGCCGGATTGTTTTTCTCCATTCCACTTGGTTCAATGCCAGATTGGCATTGATCCCTAGACAATTCAGGTCATTGTTGGTGTTGTCATCCATTTCTCTTTGGACATCCACGCCACGTGAATAGCCTACATGTAGGTCCCAGTGATCTGGTAGTCAAGAATCTTCCTTGGCCAGCTGTCCTCCGTTCATGCACTTGAGGTGACCAAAGTGGCGGAGACGGTCACAACGAACTTCCTCTTCTGCTAGTAAATAGAATGCCAGCCTTGATGTCCTTTCAAAGCTGAGATTTATTGTGGGTAAAGTTTTGTTCACAAAATGATGTTTTAAGTGGAGATACAAAAGAGACATGACAGATTCCTTTGAAATGTGAGCCTGGATGTTTCCGCCCATTTAAGAATTGTGGCCAGCTTGTACAATACATGAATGTACATGTACCATGATGCAAGGTCATTGTTCTTGCCCAATCAATTAAGAACCGTTGCCCATGTACCACCATTTCTTCACCCCTCTCAGCTATCTAAACGGTCACAGACAGTCCCAAAAAAATTCCTCTTCCCTGCCTTGCTTTTTACACAGGCTAGTCACCAGCAGTCAGATTATATTTTAAGCAAACACTGTGACTAGTCAAATTCAGTCAACAGACAAAAGCAGGCAAGAAGTACCGGTAGGCACAGCTGGCTTAGCAATCACCTACAGTCAAAGCATTAGCTGTTTCAAGTATGTACATAAACAGTCACAGCCAGTCAATCCTGCTTTATGTAAGCTGAGAGCTCTTAACTGTTTAAAAACAGTCACTTGATTGATTTTGACTGAAAGGACAACTTTGCACACAATGTATGTTTGCGTAGGAGGGTTAAACAATATTTCTCTCGTAATTTTTCATAAACCTCCAAAAAGTACTCGCACGTTTCTGCCTTCAGAATGTGTGGCAAGGTGATTACTGCCTGGCATGACTGTGTGCAGTGCAACTTCTACAAGTTCCGCACCAAATGTGGGAAAATTGACACATCGGTTGTCCATCGCCATGATAGGAATTTCTGCCCAGTGTGGAATTGCGTTTATTTAGACCTTCATCCCTAGAGAGAGTGAAAACGTTGGCCAAGTGATATATCATTGATCAGATTAGGATAAGCGTCATTAGCTTGGAATGAATGTTTCATCCTGTGTGATCCCATAGAGCTCTACGTACGGTGATCCCAATGGAGTTGAGAAGAAAATACACAAAGTTACATGTGACTGATACTGTATGCCCTATTTGGTCTTCCAAAATGTTGTTTTCAAATATATGCACTACGCATGATGATTATGATGTTCCTAATTTTTAATTTGAACGTGTTGGTAACCGTGTTAGTCATCCATCTGTCAATCTGAAGTCTCATTCAAAAGCTGCAACTAACAAGTTGGTAATGCCAAAAATTAGCAAATTTTCGATTTGAAAATGTATTTTTCAAGGTGCCAAGTGCATCCAGTATGACTTTGAGTTTGCCAAACTTGTTTTTATTAGCCACAGTGCTTCAGTTTGAAATGGGCATGTGCGTAGATTGCCTGAAGTACATTTAGCCTGTGAGTGCATTGAAATTGACAGGGTCATTGTCCAGTCTTGTGAAAGCGGTTATGAAATAAAATCGAAGAATTTTTGAGTATTCTATACTCCTCACCCAAGGCGCAGTGCAATACTCTCCATCCGAGGATATGTTTGCAAAGACTCGGGCTTATAGATGCATTGCGTGCCAAAGCCCAGCGTATTTAGCCAGGGTCCCGGACAAGTTGGGGTTAAATCATGTAATATTTACAGACCCAGCAGCTGATAACACCCTTCAGATGAGCCCAGAGCGGTTTCATTAACTTGGGGGTGTCTGTCCCATGTCTGGTCTGCATCAATATGTACCTTCATCAGGGACGTCCTGAGAAAATATCATCACCGTCGTCTTCATCTGATCAGGATTTCTGGTTAGTCGAGTGCGGCTGTACAGATTTACCCAAGGCATGACCTTTTGGTTTTACCAGGGCACTTAGCCACCATCTTGGCTCTTACAATATTCTACTGCCCCTACATCCTCCAAAATCCTGTTGGATGCATGTTTTTCCAGACTGTAGTGCACGTTCATGTGGTTTTTTTTCAAAAGCTGTTATTGTTGTAGCAATGTAAGACTTTCTATCAAAACAGCCTTTGCTGTAAAAACAAATGTTTTCGTATTTAGTAGGCTTTCTGTACAGTAGTCAGAGCATTGAAAAGAAGGGTGTGGAAACCTTCAAGTTTGTCCAGCACCGTTAAAATTATTTTTACAAGTCGAGCAAGTTTTGCTGTGCTAAAATGTATGAGCATGTTAAGGACACTTCGAAGCCATTTCTGGCCAGTCTCTCAATTGAAAGACGCTTCAAGATTGTGAACATCATGCATGCAACTTTTCCTCGGATCCGCTGATTTCCTCGTTTTTTACTTCTCATGAATGCCATTACAAATTGAAAAATACTGTACAAAAGCTTGTGTGCTTTGGAATTTCCTCGTTTCCCCCCCTAAATTCCCAGTTGCATACCTGGAACATTCACCTGAAACTTGGTTGTGTCATGGTGTGTACCCAACACCATGCACATTGCACATATGCATGTGTCTTTCATTGGTTCTCATAGACCAGGCAGCACTATGTAGAGTCAATTTGAATCTCTGCTTAGTGCTTGCAAAGTTGCATGAAACTGTTCTTGCAACCTGCATTCCTCTTTTCAGCTCATCCGCTCTCTCTGGAATGTCCTAGTTGTCTCTTATATCATGAAAGATAAACAATAACACCATCGTCTTGTAAATAATTTGGTCTAGAAGGTTACATGTCTATCCCCTATTGGACATCAGTCCTCAGGAAAGCTGTTGTACATGTCCTTGGACACTAGCATTTTGTTTGTAGGCATAAAAAAGCCGAACAAGGGAATGCTTGTGGAGTAAAAAGTATGCTGTGTGTGTGGTACAGTCATTAGAACATTCCTTCATTGTCCTTATGGTACATTCGCATGGTGGGTCATACATACTCTGGGCTTCCTATACAGGAATGCTGCTTGTACTACCCTGGAGCAGCATTTTACAGTTAAGTTTCCCCTGGAGCAAGCAATGGACTGCTGTGTGTTTTTGTAGGGATTTTGGTCAGTTTTTGTCAACAAAACAAGGTGAGAGGATTGTCAAGTGTTTGGCCTTAAATATTGTGGTCAGTGTCTTAAACCACAGTCCTGTGTGGTCAGTATTGTAGTATGTAATGAGCCTACATATATATACTGAACAAATGTGGTGATTAAATTATTGCAGTATAAGCAGTAGCCAAATATGTAT